TTCTCTTTATTGCCTAATTGCTCTGCTTAGGACTTCCAATACTGTGTTGAATAAAATTAGCAAGAGTGGGCATCCTTATCTTCCTCTTCTTTGAGGAACTGCTTTCAGCTTTTAACCCTTCAATGTGATGTTACCCATGGGTTAATTATATGGCCTTTATCATGTTATGTTCCCTCTATACCTACTTGTTGAGAGGTTTTTTTAATCATGAATGGATTTTGAATTTTGTGAAATGCTTTTTCTGCCTGTATTGAGATGATCATATGATTTTTATCCTTTATTTTGTTACGGGTGTATCATATTGATTTATTTGCAGATGTTGAACCATCCATTCATCCCTGGAATAACTTCCACATGGTATATGATCCTTTTAATGTGTTGTTGAATTCAGTTTGGTAATATTTTGTTGAGAATTTTTGTATCTATGTTCATCAAGGATATTAGCCTGTAATTTTCTTTTCTTGGAGTGTCCTTGTCTGATTATACCAGGGTAATGCTGGCCTCATAAAAGGAGTTTGGGAGAGTTCCTTTTTACTGTGTTTTGGACTAGTTTGAAAAGGTGTTTAGTGTTATTTCTTCTTTAGTATTTGGTAGAATTCACCAGGGAAGCTATCTGTTTCTATAATTTTGTTTTTTGGGAGGTTTTGATAACTGATTCAATCTCTTTACTAGTAATTGGTCTGTTTAGATTTTCTATTTCTTCATGATTCAGCCATGACAAGTTGTATATTCCTTGGAATTCATTTATTTCTTCTAGGTTGTCCAATTTGTTGGTGTATGATGTTCATCATAATCTCACGATCCTTTGTCTTTCTGTGGTATCAGTTGTAATGTCTCCTCTTTGATGTCTAATTTTTTTCAGTTCTATTTTTCTTGGTGAGTCTTGCTAAAGGTTTCTCTATTTATATTTCTTTTTAAATATCAGCTTAGTTTCATTGATCTTTTCTATTATCTTTTTACCCTCTATTTCATTTATCTCTGCTCTGATCTTTGTTATTGCCCTCCTTGTACTAATTTTGGTCCTAGTTTGTTCTTTTTTCTCTGTTCCTTGAAGTGTAAAGTTAGGTTGTTTACTTGAGAACTTTCCTATTTCCTGATACAGGCACTTATTGCTATGAATTCCCCTCCAGAACTGCTTTTGCAGCATTCCGTAAGTTTTGGTATATTGTATTTCTATTTTTTATTTGTCTCAAGATATTTTTTCATTTCTCTTTTGAGTTCTTCTTTGACCCATTGGTTGTTCAGTAATATGTTGTTTACTCTCCACATATTTGTGAATTTTCTTGTTTCCTTACTATAATTGATTCTAGTTTCATACCATTGTGCACAGAAAAGATGCTTGATATGATTTCAGTTTTCATAATTTTGTTAATAGTTATTTTGTGGCCTAACATATGATCTATTCTGGAGCATATTCCATGTATACCTGAACAGAGTGTATTCTGCTGATTTTCGGTGGAGTGTTCTGTAAATGTCTGTTAAGTCCATCTGGTCTAACATGTCGCTTAAGTCCATTGCTTCATTGTATTGCTGTCTTTTTCTCCCTTTACGTCTACTAATATTTGTTTTATGTATTTAGGTGCATCTGTGTTGGACACATAAATATTTATAAATATTATATCATCTTGTTGGATTAACCCCTTTATCATTATATAATGCCCTTGTCTCTTGTTAGAGTCTTGTCTTAAAGTCTATTTTGTCTTGTATAACTTTCCCAGCTTTCTTTGGTTCCATTTACATGGAATATCTTTCCATCCCTTCACTTTTAGTCTATGTGTTATTACATCTGAAGTGAATCTCTTGTAGACAACATAGTTTGGCCTTAGATAAGTCCTTTCTTATCCATTCAGTCACTCTTTGTTTTTTGATTGGAAAATTTAGTTCATTTACATTTAAAGTTATTGTTGATAGGTATGGACTTACTGCCATTTTGTTCATTGATTTCTAGCTATTTTGTAATTCTTCTATTTCTTTCTTCTTCTCTTGCTTCCTTTGTGATTTGATGATTTTTGGTAATGCTGTGCTTAGACTCCTTTTTCTTTATCTTTTCTGTGTCTGTTATGGGTTTTTGCTCTGTGATCACCATGAGGATTATATTTAAATGTAACAGTCTATTTTAAGCTGATAACAGCTTGTTTGAATGCATTTTAAAGCTTTACATTTTTACTCTTCCCCCCACACATTTTAAAAGGTGTCACAATTTACATTTTTTTATCTTGTGTATCCATTAACAAATTATAGTAGTTATAGTTTTTTTACTACTAAAATATAGTGTATTTTACTACTTTTACTATAGTTACTTTACTCTTTTAATCTTCATGCTATGTCTATAAGTGATTGACCCACCACCATGACAACATTAGATTATTCTGAATTTAACTATACATTTACTTTTGCCTGTGAGATTTATATTTTCATATTTTTTCCTGTTACCAATTAGCACCCTTTTGTTTCACCTTAAGGAACTCCCTTTAACATTTGTTGTAAGGCTGGTCTAGTGGTGATGAGCTCCTTCAACTTTTGCTTATCTGGAAAATTTTATTTCTCCTTAAATTCTGAAGGACAGCTTTTCCAGGTAGAGTATTCCTGGTTGGCAGGTTGTTGTTTTTTTCTTTCAGCACATTGAATATATTATGCCACCCTCTTCTGGCCTGCCAAGTTTCTACCTAAAAATTTGCTAATAGTCTTATGGGGGTTCCCTTGTACATAACAAGTTGTTTTTCTCTTGCTCCTTTTAAGATTTTCTCCTTTAACTTTTGACAATTTAATTATAGTGTCTCATTGGATTCTTCTTTTTTGGAACTCTGGGATTCCTGGATTTATTTCCAGGTAGTCTGTTTCTTTTCCCAGGTTAGGGAAGTTTTCATCCATTATTTCTTCAAATAAGCTTTCTGCCCCTTTCTCTCTCTCTTCCTCTGACCCCTCTATAAATGTGAATATTGATCTGCTTGATGTTGTCCCATAAGTCCTTTAAACTCTATTCACTCTTTCTTATTCTTTTTTCTTTTAGCTGGTCTGATTGAATGAATTTCAATACACTGCTTCTAGTTCCCTGATTCTTTCACGTCATCTAGTTTGCTGTTGAACCCCTTTATTGAATTTTTCAGCTCAGTTATTGTATCCTTCACCTCTGTGATTTCTGTTTAGTACTTTCTTATATTTTCTTTTTGTTGAAATTCTCGCTTTGTTCATGTATTGCTTCCCCGACCTCTGTGAGCATCTTTATGACATTATTTGAGCTCTTTATCAGGTAAAAATTATTTATCTTGATTTCATTAAGATCTTTTCCTGGGGTTTTATCTAATTCTTTCACTTGGAATATATTCCTCTTTCTTCATTTTTCTTGACTCTCTATGTTGGTTTCTATGCATTAGATACAATAGCCAGTCTTGAAGGAGTGGCCTCATGTAAGAGATGAACCTTATTATTCAACCCTGCCGTGGCTCTTGGTTGTCTCTCAAACCTTTGTCAATGTCCAGCCTACTTTGTTCTTAGTGGCTCCCAGCAGTGGGTATACCAAGACCTGTCAGTTTCCCAAAGAGAAGGATCTCAGCACCTAGATGCAGGCTGATTGGAAGCTGGACACTCAGGCAGTAAGTATGCCCGTATACCTCTTTCAGGGGAAGACTGAGAGATGGGCATTCTGTCTGCTCCCTCTGCACTGAGCCCTAGGGGGATAGCAGGTTAAGAACTATTTCTTTGTTTGCTACCATGCAATTGAGCCCATGAACACAAGCCGTGCTACTCACCAGAGCCAGATATCAAGGGATGTGTCCTCTGAGCAGTAGCCACAAAAGCTGGAGCACCAGATGTTTGCACAACCTCCATTCATAGAAACACTGGTGACCCAGAGCAGGGCAAAGGGAGAGTGCAGAGATGGCACCCACTGGCCTCCCCAGTCTCTGCAGAGGATTGCAGTTGGCCCCTAGATGTTGTTTAATTATAAGCCTGACCCTCAGGCTGCAGTTAAGATCTATAAATAGGCCTCTTTCACTTACAGACTGGGCATTTCAGTCTGCTGCCTCTGCCCTGTGCCCTGGTGGCATAGCTTAAGATCTGCTACTCTGTTTATTAGAGTCCTGTGGGACCCAGGAACATAAGCCTTGTTGGCCAGCAGAGCCAGGCAATCAAGAGGTATGTCCCCTGGGCAGTAGCTGCAAAAGCTGGGGTGCCAGACGTGTGTATAAGCTCCTTTCCAGAAGATACCTGCTAGTGAGGCAGAAGGAGAGCATGAAGATGGTATGGTGCCCACTAGCCTCCTTGGTCTCTGGAGAGGATTACAGTTGGCATCTAGATGTGTACTAAATTAAAAGCCTGCCCCCTCAGGCCAAAGCTTTTAAGAATAAGCAAATAGGCTTCTTTAATGAAAAGACTGGGCATTTTAGTCTGCTGCCTCTGTACTGGGCCCTGGGGGTATATCCATGGTAAGTCCATGAGAGTCCATTAAGAACTATCTCTTAGTTCACTACAGCCTTATGGGTCTCTTGGACCCAAACCCCAGTAGCTTTCAGAGCTAGATGTTATGGGGTCCCATCTCTCAGGTGGGAGTCTTAAAAGTTGGGGTGCTAGATGTAGGGTCCAAGCCGTTTGCTCCTCAGGGAGAATCCAGGAGTTGTGAGTTCCCTCCTCGTTGCGTGTCGCCCTGCCGGGAGTGAGTTTTATGGCAAGGTTGTGATCAGCCTCTCATACCCATTTCAGTGTGTCTTCTTGTTCACTCGATGCGTAGGCACTCAGCTAGTTTCTGGATTTCTTTCAGAGGGATTGTTGTTCAATTTGTAGCTGTAAATTCAGTGTGTCAGTGAAACGAGGTGAGTGGAGGAGCCTGCTTTGTTGCCGTCTCAATCCAGAACTCTCCAATAGAGTTTTATAGGTAATTATTCAGAGTTTTTCTGTTTTGGGGATCTGAAACACAGTAAATAGCATCCCCAGATGCTTTGAGGCATAGCCCTACGCCCTCCTTCCCAGCCCTGACCTAACAGTCTGCTTCTTTGTGGTTCTAGAAAAATAACTGTGTGCTGCCTGAGGATCTGAAGAACTTTTACCTGATGACCAATGGCTTCCACATGACATGGAATGTGAAGCTGGATGGTGAGTCAGCCTCCTTGCTGTAGAGGAACACTTCCCTGGCTAAGAGGTTAGATGAGACAACTCTGAGGGCCTTTACAACTTATGAGTCTTTGAATCTGGACAGTTTTTGTGGGTTCTTCTAAAGTGCAGTGTCCAGAAGCTGTGATTATCTCCCAAAGCTAACACATGCCATCATTGCTTCACCCACTGCCTCCCCAGCCCCCGTGCCAGGGTCTACCCAGTACTTAACTGGAAGCTCAATTTAGAGGCTTCCTGTTGGCATGCGGTGGAGGGAAAGATTAGTCACTACACAAAAATCCTGAGCCACCTCGAACTTAAAGCCTCTGAGGATTCCACCTTGGAGCAGTCTCCTCAGGATGAGCTGCAGTGACAGCCTCTGGTGGTCATAAGAGGGGCTCCTTCCTTCATTCCCAGCATGGTGGAGACCTCAGTGCTCTGAGGTCTGGACCTCTGACCCTCAGAGCAGAACCTTTCCTTCTCTGCCTCACACCTCCTCAGCCTGAGTCATCAACCACCTTAGTTCACAGGCTATCATCCTTGGTATTAAATACGTCCAGGATAAAAATTTCTATCATGAATGTGGGAAATCACACCTTGGTACCTGTCAGAGATTCAGGTACTATGCAGGCATGAAAGTCAGTGCTGCGCATTTAGGTTAAGACTCTAGTAACATTCCATAGACTAGGAAATCCGGATCTAGCCCCTGGAGTCCAGCTCATTCCTGACACAGACTTCCCTGTCCTCAAGAGGACTTTATTATCTCCAAACTACAACCACATCCCCAGATCTACTTTGGTCCTTGGGAATCAGCCTATACCTCTCCTTTCTGGCACTAAGAATGCAGTCACTTCTGTGACACAGCAAATCTGCAGAACTGATTCCTGCCCTTCATTGCCGCTACCTCCTAGGTTCCCTTGTTTTGGTGACTCCCCAAACCTTCTTGTTTTTCTTGCAGCTGACCAGGGGCATATTTTATAGCTTACTACTAAGCATTTAACATGAACTTTTAGCTTAGAATCATTTCCTCTGATGGTCTAGAAACCATTGTTGTCACCAATATCAGAAACCCTCATGGCCATGGCCTTTGGAGTCTGGAGCAACAGAGAGAGTAGACAGAGGCTAGAGTGACTGTCAGATTTTCCCTTGCCCACATCACGGAGACAGGCTAGCCCCTTCAGAAGCCTGCATCAGAAAAGAAACATTTCATGAAGGTTTTATGAATGAGTCCCTATTCATTATTAATACTTTTTTTTAATGTAATCCTCCCAACCCATCTTGTTATCCTTATCCCCATTGCTGTACCCATTCTTTACTGGATGGCTAAAATCATTACCAGAAAAGCCAGCAAAGGCAGCTTCCAATGTTTACCTCCTTAGTGGTCTTTTCTTGGACATTCCATGGTCTGTACACCAGCTGTTTTATTGCCTTAAGTTATTCCAGTTTTTTAGCAGTCATATGTCCAAGTCTTTGTGTGCCATCCCATGTCCAGCACCCTATATTATAAGGATTCTGTATGATAGATAAGGAAAATACATAGTCTGCTTATTTCTTGTTTACACCTGAATTACAGAAGACTGAACCAAGCAAGGAGGCTTTCAAGACAGTTTGCTCCATTGAGTAAGAAAAAATGACAAGTAGAGGGGGAGATAGTTTCCATAGTGAAAGCTTATGACAAGAAGGGTAGAAGCAGTCAGTTATATAATCAAAGCTGTTACTCCTTTGGAAAGTATAACCCTTCATTCAAGGGATGGCAGGAGCAAAAACATTTTTTAAGTCCTTTGATCTTCAAACTAGGGCCCCTACCCTAGAATTCGCAGTTTTTTTTGAGAATCCCCTTTTAAAATTTCCTTTGGTCCTCCGCCCTAACACATGCAGTGGGGACTCTTCACTCATGGCCCCAGCTGTTTGGTTTTTTTTTTTTTTTGCATAAAAGGCTGGTGCTTTGGAGCATGTAGTGCATTGATTCTCTCCTTTCCACTTTCCATTCAGTTCCTCAGCCCTGGGATCAAGTAATAGCTGGGCTTAAGTTAGTCAAGCAGAAGCCCTTCTGATGACCATGGTAACTAGCTTATTACTCCATGTAATTCTTTTTGTTAACGTTCCCATAGAACATACCATTCCATTGGGCAGCATGGCAATTAACAGCATCTCAAAACTGACTCAACTCAACCAGTCTTCCCTGTACTCACTTCCTAATGCACCAACTCTTGCAGACCTGGAGGACGATACACAAGAAGGTAACTGGAGGGACTTCTGCTTTGAGTTAGAAATCAGCCTGCTTGTTTCCATTTTATAATGTTGAAAATAATAGGAAGACATTGTGGCATTGTTACATGTTCCCCTAAACCCAACCCTTCTCATTTATGGCTTCTCTGAACCATGGGAGTAAGGTAAAAAAAAAAAAAAAAAACGCCTGTATCAAAAAAGGAAATTTTCATGAAGAAAATGCCAGGGTTGGGATCTTTGTTTCCAGCACCCACTTCAGTCCCTGGCACATAGTAGGCAGTTAATGAATACCTGGTAAGTGAATGAATGAATGTTACAGATTAAACTTCACTCCACATTTCAGTATTGAGAGGTTTCAGGGACCGTGACAGTCTAAATGCAGCTCCCTTCCTCCCTTCAGGCTCTTTGCCACTTCTGATTGAAATGGCTTATAATTCAAATGGCTGCTAAAGCTTATGATCAACTATGTATAAGTGAGGACTTCAGTCAGAACTGTGTTTGGCTGCGTATAACAGACCCCCATTACAATGTTTAAATAGGAGTTTATTTTTCTCATAATAAGAAATCTGGAACTAGGCTGGTGTAGCTGCTTGAGAAACTCAATGATAAAGTCTCCCTCTGGATTCCTGGTGCACCAGCCTTTGTGTTTGTTTGGTTTTCATCCTCATGGTTGAAGAATGTGGGCTCTACCTCCAAGCTTCAAGTCTATGTTCCAGGCAGGAAAAAGAAGAGTAAAGGGCAAAATAACTGTCTCTTGGCAGAATAGTTTCCTTTTTGTCAGAAAAATAATAGTTTTCCCAGAAGCTCCTCCCAATAACCATTCGCCAGAATAGAGTCAAAAGGTTACCCATAGTGCAAGGGAATTTGAGGAGATAAGTATTTTTAGCTGTGTAGTATTGCCTCATCGAACAGAACTGGAGTTTTAAAAAGGGAGAATGAATATTTAGTAGGCAACTAGTGTCTCCAATACTAATGCCTTGGAGTGCATTGAAGTTCTGACAGAGAGAACTGATGCAAGACTTTCTCCTTCAACTGGACAAGCAGCTGGACAATAGGAGGAGGAGTCCAAGAGCTGAGCCTGGAAAGTGTTGGGCCCTGGGAAGAGTTTGTCACTTAGAAATGTGTGGAATCCTCAAGGATGGGAAAAATGTCACATTTGCTTCATATGTGTATACTGGGGCTCTCTAACCCCTAAAAGGCAAAGGAGTTGTTAAATAAGTAGAATGGGTATACCATGCTTTTGAAGCTGGTAGATAAAGGTAGACTAGATGATAGGATTTCAAGGGACCTCAGCAAAGGACTGAGCTAGGGGTAGAGACCACAGTGTCCTACATACTGATGGGGATAAAAACCACGTGGGCTTTTGGCACCTTCTGAGTTCATGCTTTTTAGGATAGTCCAACAATTAGACCTAAGTTTCATTAAACTTAAGTAGAAAAATGCTGACTTTTCTCAGGGGACTCAGCAGTTAGAAAGAGGACAATCAGGAAGCAATATCAGAATACACAACCAGAGAAATAACACTGCTGGAGGACACAGATGAAAACCTAAATAAGAACAAGAACACTTAAGGGCATTTAAGACAGCACAATGACTTCCTATGGAAAAAAAGTTAAAATTCTTGACTAAACAACTGACTAGATGAATTGAAGACAAGCATAAATATTGAGACCTGAGTTAGTAGCCTGAAAAAGCAAGTGCAAGAAATATCTAAAAGGACAGATAAATAAATTTTAAAAGGAGAAATGAGTGAAAAGGTGGAGGGTGAGAGAAATAGAAAATACATCCAGGTGACCTTCCATTGGAATTATAGGTGCTCAAAAAGAGAAGAAAAGCTGGAAAGGGAATAATAAATAAACAGTAATAAATGAAAACTTTTATTAAATCTGCAGATTGAAAGGGCTCTCCTAGACTCAAACTGAATTCAGGAGAAAACAGACACCTAGGCATTACATAATGCAGAAAAAAATCACAAGCTTCTAGGCAAAAATAACAAATTACTTGTGAAGAGAGAATAATCAGACTGACATCAAAATTATCACCTGCAACAGTGGAAACTAGAAGGCAGTAAAAAAACATAAACAGGTTACTGAGAGAAAAAGAGTGAAAATCAAGTGTCCTGTATATACAGATGAAACATACCTCTCAGGTTAGAAGAATATTAAAGGATGTGTAAAACGTCAAGAACATAAATACTCCAACCAAAAGACAGATGAAACGGAATGGAGATCTCAAGATGCAGATATATAAAGAGGAAAGGAAACAAGAGATTAGTGAACCTCCTGTGAAAGAGAAAGACTAAATTAAATCTTAATATCCAGGAATGTATACAACTTTTACATAAGAACTCTTGGAAAAAAGGGGACATAGTGCATAGAATATGTTTAAACATATACTCTCAGCTAAACCTAACAGAAAGGAGAGAGGCAAGATATAAGAGCTTTATGGGTTAAATTGTGTCCCTTCCCCCTGGAAATATTCATATGTTGAAGTCCTAACCTCACTCCCTCAGACTGTGACCTTATTTGGAAATAGGGACATTATAGATGTAAGCAGGTAAGATGAGGTCATACTGGAGTTGGGTGGAGCCCTAATCCAATATGACTGACAACCTTTTAAAAGGGGAAATTTGGAGATACAGATATAAAAGAAAGCCATGTGAAGATGAAGACAGAGATGGGGTGGTACTTTTACATACCAAGGAAAGCTAAAAGTTGCAAGCAAACCACCAGGAGCTAGGGGAGAGGCATAGAACAGATTCTTCTCCACAGCCCTCAAAAGGAACCAACCTTGACCTTGGATCTGTGGCCTCCAGAAGCGTGAGATAACAAATTTCTGCTATTCAAGCCATTCAGTTTGTGGTACTTTGCTACAGTAGCCCTAGCAACTAATACAAAGAATGTTCCAGAGAGTCCTTTTAAAAGAAAATGTAGGACAAAGAGGAAAGGAAGTAGAAAGTGGAAGCCCTCATCCTACTCTAGGAAGGAAATAGTATGCCTTGTTGGGGGAAACAGAGTGTCTTGGTGTATTGGTTTTCTATTCATGTATAACAGATTACCAAAAATTTAATGGCTTGAAACACTACAACTTTATTATCTAACAGTTTTCATGAGTCAAAAATTCAGCTACAGATTAGTAGAGTCTTCTGCTTAGGATCTTATCAGGCTAAAATCAAGGTGTCAGCTGGTGCTGTGATCTCATCTGAGGCATAGGGGCCTCTTCCAAGCTCACTGGTGGTTGACCTTATTCAGTTTCTTGCAGTTGTGGGACTAAGTCCTTGTTTTCTTGTTGCTTGTTGGCCAGGGCTCACTCTTGGCTCGTTTAGGCTGCCCTCAGATTCTAGCCACAAGACCCTCTCACAAGCAGGAATATTTCTCTCCAGTCTGCTACAACAGAGTCTCATAATGTTACCTAATCAAGGGAATGACTACTCCATCATATTATAGGTCCTGACCACACTCAGGGGAGGAGGTTGTACTGGTGTGTATACACACAAGCATGAATCTTGGAGGCCATCTTATAATTCTGCATACCACATTTGGTTAGAGAAACAATGGCATATTGTTTTCAAGTAAGGGTAGAATCATATGAATTCAGTCATGCAAATACATGACAAAAAGGAAGATAACCATTAAAGGAATAAAAAATTACTTTAGAATCTCTAACCTAATAAAAGAATGTTGAATCACATGAGTAAAAATAAGAAAAAGGGAAAAGAAACATTATAAAATAAGCAACAAAACATTAAGAGGAAGAAAATAAAACAGATAAATCATTATGTTAAGTGTGCTGGGATTGAATTTCCCTTTTGAAAAGCAGAAACTATCAGATTGATACAAAAAGCAAAGCTCTTCTATATGTTATTTTCAGAAGCATACTTAAACTGATGAAGAGGCCTCCTGGTAATGGCAGATAGGTAATTCAGAGCAGTCTTCCTG